AAGAGAGAGAGAGAGAGAGAGAGAGAGAGAGAGAGATTATGAACGTCAAACATCGAATTTAGTCGAATTCGTTCCAATAATCACTGTGTGAAATGGTAGCTTTCCCTCCCCATACAGGTAATTCCTGGAGGACCCGATTCAATCTAAACGATTCGATTTGTAGTGTGCATTCGCATTAAGCTACTTTAGAATTATGAAGTTCTATCTGACATTTTTGGCCATTTTGAGCTACTAAAACCATGAGGTCAGAAACCAATTAATGTACTCTCTGCTCTATCAAAATCGTAATACGGGGTGTACATCACGGCTGGATCGGACCGATCGCCCGACTCGGTCACCTGAAACTGAAAACAAACACGTTTTTTAAATATTTTTTTATACGACGTGCCCACTTCGAATGGGATCGGTCGATGGGGCCGATCGCCCGACTCGATCGCCTAAAAAACAAACGTGTTTGTTTTCAGTTTAAGGCGATCGAGTCGGACGATCGGCCCAATCCAGCCGTAGTGGGAACCCAGTATAAGGCGACCGAGTCGGACGATCTCCCCGACCCCCCACAGATCCCATCCGTAATGGGCACTCTGTATAACTTATAAGATAATTCGGAGTCGTCATCAAGATATTCAAAGAGTTACATTCCGAACAAGTTTGACAATATCGTGAAACTCAAAATCAAAATGTTTGACGTCAAATTTCTCAAAACTAGCTATAATACTGAGTAGATAGAACTTTGTAAATCAAGGGTATATATAGTGATCTCCATTCGTGGTTTGCGAGAAGTGACGTGTCTTATCGGAACATCTCACTTGTATGTTAAAAATGTCCCAGGGGGCTCTCGTGGCCTAGAGGTTAAAGTGTTGGCCTCTCATTCAAAAAGGTCCCGGGTTCGAATCCGGGTAGCGACCGAAAAAAATTTCTTCTCTAAAATTGTCTCTTTTCATCTTCTTTCCTGCTGTCTAGCAATGTTCTGTTGTCTGCTTTCATTTCCACTTTCTGCCCCCACCCCCTCACCTCCCTTGCCCCCCTCCTCTGGGCTCCTGGCTCTTTCTGCAGCCTTTCTACTGCTGCTCCTTAGCTCCTCCTTACTGCTGTCTTTCTGCCACACCCCTGATCTTCTGGTAGGAAAGATCTAAACCTAGCCTTCTCGGACAAGGGCGAACAATCTCGGAGGGCCCGTGTGCAAGTTACGCAGGTAAAAAATCCCTT